AAAAAAAAAAAAAAAAAAAAAAAAAAAAAAAAAAAAAAAAAGAATCGCTTTTTAATAAATAAGCATAATATTAGATTACATATATAAGTTATTGAACTTATACAATTATAAAGGATCCTAAATAAAAATTTGTTATGATTAGTTTTCATTTATTATTTCTTTACCTCCACTTCCACCAAGTAATGTTTTATTAGCTGCATTAACAATAGCATCAATTTCTAACTTTGTGATGTCTGTTTTCAACAATGATACTTTATTATTCAATTCATCATTATAACTTGGTTTGACATTAGACACTGACTCTGTAAAAACTGGTTTTACTGTGAATATAAAATAAATCATAGTTTTAAGTAGACATGTAATAATTCATTAATATTAAAATATGATATTATCAAGCATATATTAGCTTCAACATTGCAAATAAATATCATTAATTTCACCATTCATGTAAAATCAATTTTTTAACAGAAAATTTCATATCAGCATTACAAAAACTCATAAGATTTTTTTTTTTGATAATGAATAGTTGCAAAAAAACCTAGTCATGTTGAAAACTCACATAGTAAATACAAGCATAGATTTAATTTTGAGAGTGACTACCTAAACTAATTTTAAAAATATCTTTGATGCAATGTGTAGTTTCTACACATTATTACTACTAATTAATTCTATTATACTAGTAATTCTACTACTAGTAATTCTACTAGTAAATTTAAAAACTGAACATCGAAGAAGTCTTTAAATAAGTAGTATTTACCCTAGATAAACTCAGACTTTAGAGTAACTAAAACCAGATAGACCGAAATGTATTATGCATCAAAGTAACTAAAAGTTATTCTCTTACATTTTTAAATAATAAAGAAACTCCTAAAATGTAATGAAATAACTGGTAAAAAATAAATAAGTAAAAACATTAAAAACTATTATAGAATATATATACAATTATTTGAGCCTCATAATAATACTAGATTTAAAAAACATAAATGAATTTATAAATTATATTTATTAAAACGCTACATGTACTTATCAATTTTAAATTCATGAACATTACTAAATATTGATGTCAAATTTTATAACTATCTTGATTAAGTAAAATTAAAACTATATTAAAAATTTTATTAATTTAAAAACTAAAAAATATTAAACTCAAAAGCCACAAAAAATTACTGAAAAGTTGCGGATATGTATTTTGAAAACAATGTTACCATTATCAACGCCAAACACATGCTGACTGTTATTATATAACTATATCTTGATTTGTTTAAGGACAATATTGGATAAAATTCATAAGTATGCTGCATAAATATTTTATTATATAGTATTTTAAATTTTATTTATTTACTATTTTTTGAATGATAAAATTGTATATACTCTACTAATATTAAGAAATTAGCACCTACACAACAAGCTATGTTTAAAAAAATATGTAACTTATGTAAAAAATAGTTTAAAAAATATAAACTTTGTCGAATGCAAAAAAAAATTACCACTACTAATTACTTTAAATTAAAATTTGTTCAGTAACACTTTTTAATAAAATTACACTCCTAAAATGGTAAGGGGAAAGAGTAGACGAATATTTTTTATTTCCTGCATAGATTTTACTATATTCAAATGGTTTTTATTATCATAAATAATTTAGATATTGTATTAAGAAAAAAATATTCTTGAAGACTTTTGTTAATAAGTGTTTTATATCCTTATTCCAAGATTTTATATTATTATTATAATCAAGTTATCAAATTAGAATAAGAGAATTAAAATTGCTCTAAATTGTTGCGCATGTAATTTGATTCAACACTTGTAGTTAATTCTTACTCTGATTATACAAAGTTTTTTTGAAGTATTCAGTCCAAGTTAATATTTCTGAAATCTTCAAAGCCATATTTATACTAAAAATAAAATACGGTTTTTGTAAAAATTAAAAAATAACTGTCATCGTTAAACGCAATTTAAAAATATATAAATGATACCTATAAATGGCCACTATTGTAACAAAATAAATAAATATACAGGCAGCATGATTGGAAGAAAATACTCAAATTTAACAAGAGGGAATACTGAAAAAAGAAAATCTCATGGAGCTTACGGCCATGTTGACGACCCCTCCCCGATTATTCAAGTTGCGATAAAAAATAATACGGACACCCAAGTTGATAACCATTCTAAACATGAATAGCGATAACGTCCAAGTCATAGTAAAACGATAGTAAACGAATAAAACGGTAGAATATTAAACTTTTATTATTTGATAATTTAAAATTTCATGTTTTTAGAATATTCAGTTAAATATTTAACTTAATACCAAAAATTGTTTTTTTGGTATAAATTTGTATTTGTTTGTTGAGAATAAATTATTAAAAACATTAATAATGGTAAGTAATTTACAATTTTATTGTTTGTCGAAATATTGATTTTCATACTTTAGTTGTCAAGATAAAAATAAAAAATACACTTATCTATACGAGGTCTAATCATAAATTATCGATACTATTGTTAATGACTGAACTCTATTAGTGTATATTAAATAGTAAAAAAAAACTCCATTGACTCCAAATATAATAAAAAATACTATACCTGCTTTTTTAAGCAATTAATAGAAATTCAGTCAGATTTTATTCGACCTGTTGTGCAATTATTAAGCCCGCCACAGTGTTACCCTCCTCAATTACTACCTTGTAATCCCAATAATAATATGATGTCATTATTTATATATTATGTCTGTCAAAGTTGTATAAATAAAAAAGAGTTTAATATGAGATATATCATGAAGATATATCTTGAAAAAAAATATACTCCTTCATTTTTTCATACATGATCTTAATAATTAAAAATGTGAAAAAAAAACTAGTTTGGTAATTGTTTACTCAATTGTTATACACCTCCCTAAAATTTGTTTAATTTACTAAATTTATATTTAATAATTAATAATTTATACTAAAACTCACATTAAAAATTATTAAAATAAGAAAAATTTCTCCATATTTCATCATTAATTTTCTAGTCAATGGGAGATAGAGTTACAAATATGTGGAAAAGGCCAAGTGATGAAGGTGAAAATAAAGATGAAGTTCCTTGGCATTTACGTTATGGAAGTAGATCATTAGGAACATTTGGAGGAATTGGTAAGTCATACAGAATTATAAATTATAAAAATTCCAGAAACTCATAACTAATATTTATTAATTAACCTGTTTTCATTGACTGCCTATATAAATAAACTTAACAAAAATTATGATTGAGAAAAAACATATGACTAGTTTATTTATTAAAGACATTTTGCATAGGAGAGTATTTGATTACCTATTTAAATACTTTTTTAAGTATTTGAAATAATATTTTAAAATACACCCAACATATTATTATTATTATTCACTCATAAAATCATCACTTTTTTCCGTATGAGTATAAAAGTAATATTTTGTACAAAAATTGGTCTGTATGTAAATTTGTAATTTTTAAAAAATACTCTATTTTTGTAAATACTATATTATCTATGAAGGTTACTATATGGAATATATGTATATAAAATAATTCCATGTGGTCGTTTCAACCATACGGAATCAGTCACTTTTAAGTGTTTAAGTGAAATTATTACAGATGATAGTTCTATATTTATTACTTATCAAAATCTGTATGATTAAAACATGTAATGATTTCATAAATTTTTTTTTTTTTTTTTAGCTTAATGGTCCCTGCAGGACCTGAGCTGGCACAAGTAATTCTTTTCATCTCTCCCTGTCCAATGCCAGGTCAACTGTCACATTTCTTCCCAACACCTTGACATCCTTCTCCACTGCATCCTTCCACCTCATTCGTGGTCTGCCTATCGGTTCTTTTTATGTATGGTCTTCGTTAGTACCTTTTTTATGATGTCATTATCAGCTCTCCATACATGTCCAAACCATTCCAATCTCTTAATTTTTATATATGACGAAATATTGGGTTTTGAATATAGTCTGTATAGGTCGTCATTCTTTCTTCTCTCGAAAATTTCTAACTCTGTATTATATATTGGGCCAAAAATGTTTCTAAGTACCTTTTGTTCGAATATTGCCAATTTGTTGTCATCACTTTTCTTTGAGGACCATGTCTCATATGCATATGTGATTACTGGTCTCAGATAGCTTGCATAGAGCAAAGTTTTTGATTTTCTTGACAGTAATTTGAACTTAAGTAGCTTACTTATACTGTGATAGCATCGGTTCCCACTAGCTATTCTTTCACTTATTTCTCGGTGCATGTCATTATTACTATTTATGTTCACTCCTAGATACTTGAAGTTTTCCACTTTTTCAAAGGTTAAATTACCTACTTGTAAGTTATGTTGATTTTCGTGACTTCTAGAGAGAACCATAAATTTAGTCTTCTCTTGATTTACGCATAGCCCCATATTTTTACTAGCTTCCAACAATTTTTAGTAGTTTGTGTAATTTCTTGTCTGGTGTTACCTAATATGACTATGTCGTCTGCGTATGCTAATATCGATTCATTACCTACTATCTCCACCTTTTGTCTTTGGGTTAATTCTCTTATGACCTTCTTCAAACTTATATTAAATAGTGTCGGGGATAAGGCATCACCTTGCCTTAGCCCTGAATTAATTTCGAATACCGATGATAACTCTCCGAGAAATTTTACTTTACATATGGTCTTGTCATTACAGAGTTTTATCATATCAACGTATTTCTTTGGTATACCAAAGCTGATCATGGCTTTCCATAACTCTTCCCTGTTTATTCTATCGTATGCCTGTTTATAGTCTATAAATACCAGGTATAAGTCTTTATTAAATTCATAATGTTTTTCCATTACTTATTTGAGAATGAAAATTTTATCAGTTGTTGATCTCCCTTTTTTGAAACCACATTGGTATCTTCCAACGATCTCCTCAGCAAAGAACCTCTCTAAGAGAATTGATGATAGTATTTTGTAACAGGTATCTAATAGGAAGATTCCTCGGTAATTTTTTATTTCCAGTATATCTCCTTTCTTAAAGATAGGACATATTATGGCTGTATTCCATTCTTCAGGTATCTGTTGTTTCTCCCAAATTATGTTGATCAGTTTCCACTCTTCATTTTTTACTGCTTCTCCGCTGTTCTTCACTAGATCTGCTACGATGTGGGTTTCTCCTGGTGCCTTATTATTTTTCAGTTTATTAATCGCCGCGTTAATTTCCGATCTCGAGGGAGAGCTAATATGTGGCTCCACTGAACTATATTGTATATTTATGTATTCATTTGTTCTCGTTGTATTATTAAGTAGTTTATCAAAATAAATTTTGAACTCTTCTGCCACTTTTCTTTTATTTGTGATCAGCTCCCCTGCTTGATTTTTTATCATTATAGTTTGTTGTTTAAAACCTTTTTTAATAGTATTACTAGCATTGAAAAATTGTTTAGGGTTATATCTGTTGTTTTCCATTTCTTCGATCTTTCTTTTCTCTTCTAGTCTTTTTTCTCTTCTTAGTGTTTTATTAGCTTCTTTTCTACTCGCTGTGTATTTTTCTATGTTTCCATTTGTCGGATGTTTTAGTGCGATTTCTCGTAATTTATTTCTTTTATCTATAATTTCTTTACAATTCGTATTAAACCAGGGTTTCTTTTTAGTATTTTTGCATATTCCTAAGCACATTTTTGCTCCAGCTGAGACTGTCATTTGTATATTTTTCCATATATGTTCTACATTTTCTTTGTTACTTTCAGTCATTGTTTTTAATATTTCATCATGTGTGGTTTTACTGTAATACTCGTGTATCTGTTCATCTCTGAGTTTTTCAATAGAGTATTTTATTGATGATTTTATTTTAGTTGTTCTTCTTTTTTCTGAAAGTCTTAGTGTAAATCTTGTAATGACTAAATAGTGGTCAGAGTCTGCATCGGCGGCACCCCTGTAGCTACTGATATTTTGTATGTATCCTTTCTGTTTATTTTGTATCATTATATAATCTATTTGATTCTTAACCACTCGATTTGGTGCTATCCATGTTTGCTTATAAATGTCTTTTCTAGGAAAGTATGGTCATTCCATTAGTCATACAGAAGCTAATTAAGGGTGTACCATTGTATTACTTCTGTCAGGAGACTTTCTCGACCTATGGTTGGATTGTACATCTCCTCTCTTCCCACTTTAGCATTAAAGTCTCCAAGTACAATTTTGACACCATAATTAGGTATTATGTCCCATACTCTGTCTAGTTCTTCGTAAAAACTTTCTTTGATATCCTCTCCCTTTTCCTCCGTTGGTGCATAGCAGTTGATTATTACTATGTCAAATATGTGTCCTGTTACCCGTATGTAGCATATGCGTTCACTCACTGCTTAAAATATTTTAACATGTGGCAAGACAGTTTCATTTATCACAAACCCTACTCCATTCTCGAAGTTTTCGTTTTTGTTACCACTATAGAAAATTGTTTTATCATCCTTTTTTATGTTTCCTTCACCAGGCCATTTAACCTCTTGTAAAGCTAGTATAGCAATATTGTAATTTTGAGTAGTGTCCAGCATACATTGTAACGCACCCGGTTTATTTAAAGTTCTAATATTCCAAGTCCCAATTTTGATGCAGTTTTCCAATTCCAGTTCTCTTCCACATCCAAGGCTTGTTTTGTGGATTCTTAACATTTAGTGTTTTTTTCCGATTTGATATATATATATATATATATATATAGGGGGGTTCAAACGCATAGAAGATTTTTTTTTAGATATTTGATATTTGATTTTAGATATCACTCCCCTATTTTTTTACTTGATATAGAAAATTTGGACTCGATCAAAAAACCCCTTCCCTTGCCGCATTGGGGTTTAAGTTTAACAAAATAGGGTTGTTTTTTAGATTTTCATATTTATTTCAATAAACATTATAGTTAGTTTAATAATGTATACAACACATTTTATCGTATTTTACAATACGATACAAAATATAGCAGATCCTTCAGAATGTAAAATTACCCTCTTAAGTAGTCTTCGATTGATGGTAATTTACTCCCAGTTATTTGATTATTAATAGAATCGAGCAAATAAATATTTCTTTGTGACATATTCCAATAAGATAAAAATTAATAATAATGTGTACAAGTATATACTTAATTACTTAGTTTTTTTTTTTTTTTTT